TAAATGATTTTTTAACCTCTCAGATTCAATCTATAACAAGTAATTTTTTTAAAAAAAAAATCATAAAAGATATGAGCATAAATTATATTATTCAATCCCAAAGTTTCTATTAGTATTTGTATGTTTTGAATCGTGAGTCGCCCACATGAATCGGTATAATCCAATTTGACCTAGTCTAACCCATGATTGTTTATTCTGAATCAAAAAGAAGATAGCCATAACTTTTCTACAGAGTACTTATAACTATTCCCTCCAGTTTTTTAGTTATTATGGTGCGTTTTTTAAAAGTTAATTTTATTAATTTTTAAAATTAATTAAATTATATTAATTTGATATTTTAAATAAAAAAGTTAGATATTCAAAAATTATATAATAAATTGCATAAATTAATTTTATAACAATATAATTAAAAAAATCATATCTTAAAATATTAGTCCAAGTTCATACAATTTTCATATAAATTGCAGTGTCATTTTCTTTTTAGTCAACAAAAATGTGAGTTATTTATTTAGAGCTCGTTTGGATGAGTTTAAAGAATAACTTTAAAAAGTGATTTTGAAAGTATTGAAACTTATTTTTAAAATAAGTAGTTATGTGTTTGGATAAAAGTGCTGAAGTTAAAAAAATAAGTAATTAATGTGTTTGGCAAATAAGTGTTGGTAAATACTTTTTTTAATCAAAATGTCTGAAATACCCTTAAAGTTGTTAACATGATAAAAGTTGATTAATTTAAGGTTTATATACTTAAAAAAATGAAACAAAATTAATTTATATTTTACATCCATAAGTAATTATATTTTGCTATCATTCACATATTTCTTTATTATCACAAATTGCTTATAAATAATAATGATAATAATAGTGATAATAATAAATAAATATTATTAATAATAATAATAATAATATATAATAATAAAATAATATTAAAATTAATGATAATAATAATGATATTAATAATAATAATAATAATATAATAATAATAATAATAAATAATTATAATAAATAATAATAATAACAATAATAATAATAATAATAATAATAAAAAATAAATAATAACAATAATATATAATAATAATAAATAATAATAATAATATATAATAATACAATAAATAATAATAATAATAAAATAATTAAATATAATTAATAATAATATAACAATATGTATAATTTAAATTGTATATGAAATGATAAATTGGTTGTACTTTTTAATCGTATATGCTACATAATCAATAACAAACGATAGGATAAAGATGTTCAGGTGTTTTTATTTCTTCCTTTTACGTTATTTGTAAATATATATTTAAGTTGAATATGTTGTTTGTATATAGGCACTGAATTGTATTGTATTATATGTCTTAGTTGTACATATTGCATAATAACAAGACACAAATGTATACGTCAACAATTATACACAATTAAATATAGAAATTTTCTGATATACAAATCAATCCATGACATATATATACTGATATAAGTCAAATACGAATATTATTCAAATATACGTATTGATATAAGTTAATACAAATATTATTCAAATATATATATTTGATGTCTTAAAATATACAACAAATTGTATATATAGTATATAATATACAATACGTTTAGAAACATATATAAGTACATAAATATAAAAAACAAACTGAATCTGCATATATATACTAATTATACACATATACAATTACTATGCACAAACCACTATGAATTTCATCATAATTGTGAAGTACTTATAATCGAATTGTACAAATCAATCAACTACTTTATATACAAGTTCATACGCTTAAAATTAATATTTTATTATTAATTCATAACTATACAATTCAAATTGATATAGTGAAATATGAGACGTTCAATTTGAAATCGAAATTGATTTGGATATACACAATTAGGAGGGAGAATCTAAAATTTTGAATTTTGATTTTATTGAGAGATTTTACTCGAAGAAGAAGACTTATTTGGTAAGGTATTCTAATTAGATCCAATAACCTTTAATTAAGGGATCATTTTCCATAATTATACCAGAAATTGTCATATATTTAGCTAACTAAATTTTAACACCATTTTGTATAATTAATTAAAAACAACTTAAATATTCAAATGGAATTTATTTTAGGAAAAAATACATGGAATGACAAACATCCCTAAATAATTATATAATAAGGGTATAGTTTAATTTATTTACTTTCTATAATTGTAGTTTTTTTCATAATTAATGGAACCCACCACCTCTTTTTATAGCAACGTAAAAAAAAATTGATTTTCTATATAATTTTATACAAATCAATTTTTATCTCTCCTATTCCTATTCTACCTCTTTCTCCTATAATCATTCATTCTCTTCGATTTTGAAAATCAAATTGGCAAAAATTTCACTTTCTCCAGGTATTGATTTCAACTTTGACAGGTAACCACCAAAATCTAGCCGTGAATCAATTTTTTTATTTTTTTTCCTTCTTCAACAATTGTATATGTATTGTGCTTTTTAATTTTTCCATATTTTTTGGTTAAAATAATGTTCATTCTTATTAGATTATAAGTTCTTCAAAATCAGAATGGATGAATCATCTTCATCTATGAGAACTACCTGAGGTATGCCATTGCATGTCAATTTTGTTGACAAATTACCCTCGTTTTCGATGGGTTTAACTCAAGATTTTGGGGTCTATCCAAACAAGTTCAAGATGAACAATCAATGGAAGAATTGAGATCCAAGAAGAAGAAAAAACAATGGCAGTTCAAAAAGTTATTCCATAACTAGCGGCATTAAAATTGTCGAAGAAGGAACAAAGAGAAAAGCAATAAACAGTGATTCAGAGGAGAGTGAATCTGAAATTGACGGATTCGAAGAATATTAGGATCACGAGGTAGTGGCTTGAAACACAATTTTAATCAATCAAGAAATCTAGTGAATCTAATAGTAATCAATCAAGAAAAATCTGACAAGGTTGTGTATGATTCATCAGATCTTCTTGATTGCGTAAAATAATGTTGTATGTAGCGATTTGTATATTTTGATAGTTATATACAAAATTTCTTGAGGTATATGTATTTTTTTGGGTATATATTCACAAATCTCGAGAATATTAGGTAATTGTATAAAATAAATTTGCACATAGAGATTTGTATATTTTGATAGTTATATACAAAAAAAAAAAGAGGTATATGTATATTTAGGTACTATATTTATATGCATATGATGATATACATATAGAGTTTATGTTTTGATAGTTATATACAAAAAAATTGAGGTATAATATGTATACTTTTGTATATTTAGGTACTACATTCATGTACATATAATCATATACAAATAGAATTTATTGTTATATACAATCATAAATAGTTCTTATTTGTAGAAATAGTATATATGTGTAAAGTATATAATTGAAAATAGTAATTAATTTGTATAAATATACATATTGACATATATTTTTTTTAATCATTTTTATAGGGAATTATTTTCATTTGCAAACAGCCACCAAAACATGTCCCCCACATGCAGCGGTATACATATACAATCCATACGTACAAATATATCATTCGATTTTTCTAACCAACAATTAGAATAGAATTGTTAATATACAATCCGTTTATATTTGTATGAACAAAAATACATATTTGCGATTTTGAAAATTTTAATTATATACTGTACAAATCAATTCTATTCTTTTTCACCGTTTAAAACATAAAGTTTCCTTGAAAGAAGAATATACAAGGATATTGATGAACCAAGAATTTTTCATTTTATATTTGCTTCAGTGGTGTGCGAATACCAGTTGTTATGATATTTATGTTGTTATAGAACTCTTTTTGAAAAAGTATTTGATTTAAAAGGATTAGCTTGAATCATGGGATTATGTAAATTTTTTGTTACCTTATTTAGTACTCATGTATCCATTTATTAAGAAGAATATTGTATAAATTATAAACAAAAAAAACGTAATATATAAATTAAATGCTCTATAGCAAACTAAATTATACCCATGGAATGTAATTACATAAACTATACTCATATAGCGTTATTTCATTAAATCTGTTTGCCATATCTAAAATTTTCCCTTTATTTTAGCTATTTAAACTATTGTTATGTTGCCTAAATAGACAAACTCTAATTAAAGAAGCCCATTATGTTTCATGCAGCTATTTATGAATTTTTTTCTTTTTTTAATCCCTTTTTTCTTTGAAAAGAGAGAGATACACTCGGGTTTTGGGCTTAAAATACCCCAAAGAGGAACTTTTTGTTATTTTTGGGTCAAAATGTGTCAAAGGGCTCAAATTTATTGCTCAGAATTCCTAAAATGGGAATCTTTCACATATAGCTATTTAAAAATAATTAATTACTCTTCATAGCTATAGTTTGATAAATATAATTTGTAGCTACATGTTATATTGAGGAGATAGGCGAGCGAGGCTGGGAGAGAGAGGAGAGAGAGGGGGGAAAAGAGTGGAAGAAAGATGAATTGTATGTGTATATTAATTAGATAATTGTATATTATATATATGTATTGGTATATATGACAAGAGAGACTGGAAAAGGGAGGAGAGAGGCGAGGATACTAGGAGAGGGAGGAGAGAGGTGAGAGATATCGAGGGAGGGAGGAGAGAGATGAGCGATATAGGGCAGACAGTGGGAGAGAGGTGAATTTTATGTATATATAATTGTATATTATACATATGCATTTGTATATATGACAAGCGAGATTGGGAGAGGGAGTAGAGAGGGGAGAGAGATTGAGAGAGGGAGGAGAGAAGCGAGCGAGAGAGGTGAATTTTATATGTATATAGGTTGAACAATTGTATATTATACATATTTATTTGTATATCGTGGCGAATTATACATATACAAAAGTGACTAATTCTACAAACTCAAAATCAGCTCATGTAATTAATGTATAATGTTACCTATGATAAGTAATTAAATAGTATAGGTTTGGTTAGCTAATTAAAACAAACAAAAAGCTGATGGGTTAAGGCCCAAAGCCCACCTCCTCTTTAGCCTAATCATGTAAAAGAAAAGCTAAAAAAAAGCTTACTAGAGAAGACAAAAAATAAAATAAAACAGGGGACTGAAATAGAAATGTTTCCATCTACCAAGAGCTTCGCGGAAATCGTGGAGGTAACACTTTCTGAAATTATCTTAGTCACTGATTTAAATCTGACTTGAATCCTATTTCTAAATGCAAAATTGAGCTGATTTCTTGGTTCAATTTCAATTTTAGAAGTCTCTAAGCTTTTACCAGACGCTGCAGAATCAATGTCAAAGACGAAGTTGAACTCAATCAAACCTTCTATGCAACAAATAAATGACTCAAATGTATCTCTAACTCCTTTCACAAATCAATCAATGCCTGCTTTCTGTCTCTAGTACTCTTCTTCAAAGTGTAAGTATCTTTTTAATTCTGTCTGACTTTGTTGAAGAATCTTCTATTGTTATTATGACTTGGATCCTCTTTTAATCTAACAATCTCTTCCCCGATGATAAATTGTTTAAAAGTATCACCATATACTTCACTTTTGTTAAGACTCTTTAACTTGTTCTTAAAGGTAATGTAAGGGTTTGATCCCTCTTCTGCAAACTAGTTATGTCTAATCACTTCTAAAAAAAACAGCATGTTCAGTCCAAAAATGTGAGAACCTAAATGGTTTGATAAAATTTTGGGCCTGAGCGTCAAACGAGCATAGCATAGGGGCATGATTAGATCCAGTTCTAGCTAGGTGTTTCACTTCTGTGCATCCAAATTGTGCTTGTAATTGCTGATTGACAAGCATTCTGTCCAATCTTTCAAAAAACAGTCTTCTCCAGCCCTTCCATTCCACCATGTGAATGAGCTCCCTTTTAAAATTGATCTCCTCTAGTTAACATGAATTCATGCAAAAGGCAAAATCTTCTACTTCCTGGTGTTGTACGGGCAAACCTCCAATCTTTTCCTTCCCATTCATCATCAGAGTAAAGTCTCCTCCCACTATTTATGGGCATGAAATATTATTTGTCAGTTGGTTCATCTCATCCCAAAGTTCTAATCTTTGATTAGCATCACACTTTGCATAGACTAGAGTCACCATAACCTCTATACTAGGATCTTGAAGAAACAATTTCAAAGTCATTGGTTGGGGTTTATCTTCTATTACCTCCACTTGAGTATCATGAGCAACAAATTATCAGATCTTCCCATTGATATTTGGTCTTGGAATATTTAAACCAATTTTTTTTTACTTCTTAATATGCTTTGCATGTTGTAAAGGATCCATTAATTCAATAATATATAATTTATGATGCTTGTGTAACACTTGAAGCCTATGAAAGGCTTGATGTGTCTTCATTGATTTAATATTTCAAAAAAAGAAAAAGAAGACTTCATCAACTAGTTGATTTGATTTAGCCAAAATTCTTGTTAGAATTATGGAAGATTGTGATTTTTCTATCCCCATATCCTTGTTGTTCCTCTTTTTTACCCCTTTATAATTAGATTAAGGAGAAATATCAGCTTGCCTTTCTCCTTCATCAAGTGCCCTTTGCATATCATTTTTCTTAGTATCTTTATCTTCAACACCAATCTTATCACTCTGTATTTGTATAGGGTTAATCTTGTGTACCTTATTTGGAGATATGGAGTTATTGTAATGCAACTCCTCCCCTGATAACTCTCTCACATCCTTCAAACCTGCAGCGGGGTATAAAGTTAATGGCTTAGTTTCACTAGCTAGAACAATCAAGACTAATTTTTGCTACATTTGCACCATTTTTCTCATCAGCATTCTTCAGATTTTCTGTATTGATGTTCACTTCATCAAATTCTTTACTACTAAAATTGTCATTACCAGAACAAGAAGTAATATCCTTGCTTAACTCTTGGTTTTCGACGTCCATTTTAATGTCTTCTGAATAAAATGTCCCTTCTTCTCTTTTTCTTCTATCACCCCATTTTGCGTTGTTGATGCTCTTCAATATAATGTTGACTAGGCTACCTGATCTTGATTTTCTAATTTCTTATTTGTTTTTCATCATAACATTAACTGGTCTATCCATCTCATTCTACACCACCTTAACCTGAACTACTTTGCTCTTTTTTGATTCTTAAACCTCATTAGCATTTGATTGCCTCTCCATATTATTTTAAGCCTCTGCTTCCTCGTTTAATGCCTCAAAATCGTTATCCGTTTGAATTTGTTTTTTTTTCCAGTTCTCCTTAGGCTTTGATTTAACTCTATTATATTCACTACATTCCATGCTTTAGGTCTCCTACCACTTGATAAAAATTTAGTGGGGAAACTCTTAACAACATGCTCTTTTCAACTTGAAGTTGTTTGCCTTTCCTTTGTGCAATCTCTTTGTTGTTTTATTCTTCTCCTTCATTTTACAAACACATTTTTAGTTAGTTTCGGGTGTAAAATTATGCATTCATCGTGACAATGCCCTTGCATTTTACATTCGGTACAATAGCTAGGACATAATCATACTTGATCTACACTTAATCTTTTCTTACCCCTCGAGTTTGTTCATCACCAATCTCCATGATGACTTGCTTTGGGTATTTAGCCAAAAGATTAATTTTAGTTTTCACTCTATCACAACTTGGCCTAGTTTTATTAATAGTAGCCATATTAAGTTGAACAACCTTTCCAACTGCTGAAGCCAATAATGTTCATTCTTGTCACTTCCCCTTCTGTCCATCGCACCAATGGTTCCTCATCCGCAAATTCACCAGATTTCATTTCAATGGGCATTGTAACATTAGAGTCTTTATTTTTAAGTAACGCTTTATAATTTAACGGATTTGTTTTGTCAAAGGTTTTCTGATTTGGTAAAGGAGGAAACTTGGCTAAGGGTGATTGGGATGAAGAGGCTTGATCAACTTTTTGAATTGGTTGACCGGCGGCCAAATTGGCCATGGTAGGTTTTGAAAATTGAAAATGCTTTTCATTACATTTTTATTTTTCTTCTTCTCTAATTATGTCACTTTGTGGAAGAAATGAACATTTATGTCGTTTTACTATTTTTCTTTATTTTTTTATTTATTAAGGTGAAAATGCATGATAGTTTAAATAAATATTGATTTGCATGACCATTTTTTAAAATCTTTTATTTCTTTTTTTTTTCGTGCTGTTAAAAAACTTTTTTGTAATCTAAATTTTTGGTTCCCTTTTAAAATCTTTTTTCCTTTTCTAATTGTTTCACTTCTTTCGTGAATAAAATGAAAATTTATGTCATTTTTTTTTAAAATTCTATTTATCAAGGGGAGAATACATGATCAGAGGCAAACTCATGATTTGAAGACTTTGGATGCACCAATATAAACATATCTTAAACATGAGTTCTAAGTTAAACATAAAATAAAAACAATAAAGAAAGGTTTTAGTTAAATTTGAACGCTAGCTAGTCCCCTAGTCCCAAGGATAGTATCTCTAGCTTCTACCAATAGCACAAGGGCACTTCTATGCTTTCTATGGTTGCAATGTTAACTATGCCCTAATTTTTATAGTTTTCAAAATAAATATACACGTACATATGATTTTTTTTGAAAGTTAGCGAGCGCACGTGCACCCCTCCATATATAGTGTGGGTCTACCTCTGTGCATGATAGACAAATAAATATTGATATCGATACATTACATTATAGTTTATATAATGTCGATACACGATCATACATCATTTATACAACTTTGATACATTATGTAACTATTTATACAATATCGACATATTACATCAACACTACATAATATACATGTTTGTATTCCATTACAATATCGATACACATTTATACACTATTTATACAATACAATACATTGCATATATACTACATAACCAGTGACAAATCCAGAATTTTTGCTTAGGGGGTTCAAAAAATAAAAGTATAAACGTGTAAATAAGTCTTTAGAAATGAGAACCTTGAATTCTTTTGAGTTTAAAATCACATTTTTAGCTTGTTTTTTAAAGTTAAGAACTTGAAAACAGAACTGAAAATTAAAAAATTGAAAAAAAAACTGAAACTAAAAAAGAAAAAGATAAAATGCTTTCACAGGGATTCAAACCATTGATGTACAACCTAATTTCAAGAGGAATTTTCACCGCGCCATTAGTTTCTCTTATTTATTGAGGAGGTTCAAAATCTATATTTACAAAAATACAAAAAATCTATCGAGGGGTCTCGGTGAACCCCCTGAAACCCATGTGGCTCTGCCCATGTACATAACTACTTATAAAATATTGGTACATTACATATACCCTACATAATTATTTTGTCCATCATATATACTTGTTTTACCTCATTTTTACAAGGAATAATTAGAGAAATCCAACTTTTAGTTATTTATTACCATTATCCTCTATAAGTTTATAAATCTCCAAAATTTCTCATTTTTCTCTCAAGTCAAAAATGTCATTAATATAGCCAACGCTCTATTAACGTATCTGACCCTCTTTTTAATGTATCAGCGCATGTATCCAATCCTCTCTTTAATGTATCAACGCTTTGATTTTTTGGCCATTAATGTATTCAGACCCTCCATTAATGTATCCGGACCTCTTTTTAATGTATCATCGCATCTATCTAACCCTCTTTTTAATGTATCAGTGCTTTAATTTTTTGGCCATTAATGTATCCGACTCTCTTTTTAATTTATCAGCGTTTATATTATTAGATTCGTTTAAGGGAATTATGTAATTATAAACTTTTAAGGGATAAATTGTAACTTTGTCTTAAAAGTATGTGATTTCTGTAATTTGGTTTTTTTACAATATTGATATATGAAAAAGTTTTTTTTAAAAAAAGGAAAAATGATTTTAATTAAAAAGAACGAAGCAAAAAGAACAAACAAAATAAGCTTTGGGTTTGTACCCACTATTTATTAAAGGAAAATTTAGCTAACTAGTAAAAAAAATTAACTTATTTAGTCATAATATCCATACTTTAATAATATTAGTAAACATGTCAAAAATGTCATAATTTTAAAAATAAATAATTGTTCTGATATTATTAATATTTTCTCTCATTATTTACACTTTTTTTTCTCTTTCATATATTACACATTTTCATGTAATTGGAAAGATATTAATGTCATTTTAATTTTTCTCTCTCTTTTCTTAAGCTTATTAATTTCTCTCTCTTATTTTCTTCCTATCAAATCCCCATATTTTTCTCTCTTTTCTTATTCTTCTTTTCAATTTCTCTATCTAACATTCTTCCAAATCAATTCCACAGATTTTCGATTCAATATATTAATATTTTCTATTATTCTCATTTAATTTTGTTGCAAAATTTGATTTGAAGATTAACATTGATTTGGATATTATTATTTTTTTTTCAGATTCTTTATTTATTTACTTACTGATTTTAGTATTTTTTTTATTTTGTTGTTGTTCTTAAAACATTTTTTAGGATTTAAGACTAAATAATTCTCTCTTCAATGGATGTTTTCAAGAGAGTTACTAGAGGTATTGGACAAAATAATCAAAGTTCTTCCGATTTTTCATCATTTATTTTTTTTCACTCAAGAATTAAACACAATATAGGTTCCGCTTCTAAATCTAAGGAGGATATACGACGGGGAAAAATGTCTGAATCTGTCGATGTGCAAAATCCCACACAAATTAATAACCATGAAGTTGAAGAAGACCAATTTGTTGGAGAAGAATTATTTTTTTTTTGCATTGTCTGTGTCTTGCATGTTTAATTTAATTTGTTTTAGTAATTTTTAAGATTCAAAAAAATTCATGTTACAATGCGTTTGGAAGTATATATGAAATTTTTATTATGTTATAGTTAGTATTTAGTTTTGTATTTTATATATTTATTGTATTTTGTGTTCTATTTTTTGTGTGTGTTAGTTATGTCAATGTAACACATTATATGAGTTTGATTGTGTATATTTCATAGTTTTGATGTTTTTTGTATTCATAAATTTGGAAGTGTATATTGAATTTTGTTGTTGTTTTAGTCAGTATATATTTTTATATTTCATTGTTTTATTGTATTTTGTATCCATAGATTTGGAATCGTATTTCATTTATTTATTTATTTTGTATTCTGTTTTTTTTTGTGATAGTTATGTCAATGTACCACAGTTAGTATTTATTTTTGTATTTCATAGTTTTATTATTTTTTGTATTCATAAATTTGGTTTATATATTGAATTTTATACTGCTTTAGTCAGTATATATTTTTACAATTAATAGTTGTATTCATTCAAAAATTGTGTTGCATTGTTTCTGAATTTGACATTTTTTTTAATTTGTATTTATTCTAAAGGTATGTCAACTAGTTATGTATTTTATTTAAGAATGAGTACACCAAATATTCAATTATTTCTTTTTAATTTTATATTTCATTCACTTTTTCATCATACTAATTTTTTGTATTTTATATATTATTATACAAAATTCAAAATAAAAAGAAATATAAATGAAATACATATTGAAATGAATACATACAAGAATTTTGAAGAATAAAATAACTATATAGGGAAAAAAATATATAAAAATGCAAATACATTTCTTAAAGACGATATAGATAAATTTGACATATTTATTGGAATGAATATAAATTATAAAAAACTATAATAAATATAAATAGAATATATTGTGGAATGAATATAATTTTAAAAAGGTAAAAATTTTGGAGAGAAAAAAAATTAAATTTTATTTGAAAATGTAACTGATGAGAAAATTAAGGATGCTTACTTTTTTTTGAAATATTTTCTCCCTTAATTTTCTCCCTTTTGTTATTAAATAATTATATTTTTTAAATAAAAACAAATAATAAAAACATTAATAAGATACATAACAAACTAAAATATGACATTTTTACTAAATATTGAAAGTGTTGCTAATGAGCCCTTTTAAATGCTAAAATATTAACATTTTGAAAAATTTCCCTTTATTAAAATATGGATAATATTTGGGCTCGTATCCATATTTAACCCATTAAATTTGGAGTAAAATTTAGGTTTAACAAATATAAAATTATATTTGTATATTATATCTATAACTTGTATAATTGCGCTCCATAACAAACTGTATATTTGATAACGCTATTAATATGTATATTTCGGTATACATATACAGAAGAATCAATTGTTTAATATATGTTTGTATAAAGCGAGAAATAGAGAATACAAAAAGAAATTGGGCAGAGAAAGATTTGTATAGGACGAAATTATATTTATTTGTATTTGTATATATAATTTTCTCTTGTTTTATACAAACACAAACGCAATGTATAGATTTGTGTTTGTATAAAGTGAGAGAGACAAGCGAGATCTGGGAGAGTGACGAGCGAGATTCTCTGGGGAGAGACTTCAACAAAAAGATATTTATATATGCATTTTTCTCTCGCTTTATACAAGCACAAACATAATTTATATAATTGTGTTTGCATAAAGTGAGAGAGGCGAGAGAGACATGAAAGTAGAGAGCGAGATTCACTGGGGAGAGAGGCAAATGACAATTGTTTGCTATGCGTTACAATAAAATGAAATTGTGAATATAACGTTAAATTCGAATTAATAGTTTGCTATTTTTTAAAATTTTCCCTCAAAATTTATGAATAAACTACGGATAAAATATAAGGTTGGGTGAAGGAATTAACCCCCCACCCCCACCCCCAAACGACCACAAAGATTGTCGGGTAAGTTTCTTCTCTTTCTTTGTTTGAGATTTTTAGGTTCCTAATCTGCTATCTTACACACTGATTAATTAACCTTCTAAACTAATCATATCGTTAACTAACAAACTGAGACTAACTAACCAACCAATTCCAAAAAAATTCGAATGTCTTAAAATATTTTGGATTGTGTTTAAATGACCTTTTGATGGACCTTTTTTAAAACCACATATTTAGATAGATCTAGAGGAATTTAAAATGAAAGAAACATTTTATATTAATGTAATCGTGCTTTGTCAGTGTACCTCTCCAGAAACTATCCAACCAACCGTTTACTTGATTTTAGAAGTTTCAAGTCTTTTTCTATATCTGTTTTCCCTCTCTCCAATATTTTATTTGTAGACCATCTTATTTGACTCTAATAATTAAAAAATAATTAGAGTTATTTGGGAATAAAATCTTAAATGCATATTTAAATTATTGGAGCCAATTAATCATGACTACATAGATCAATTAGTAGTGTCTGCCTTAGCTTCTGCTCCCAAATTAAAATACATGTAACAATAGTAGGTGCAATCAATAATCACCATCACCATGGAATTTAATAGTTGGTCTAATCAGGTAGTTCATTTATGTGTTCTACATATTTCTGTTTATATATATATAGATATACATCCGGAATGATCCTAACATGGTATGCGATCTTATTTCTACAATATCAAAAATGAATTTTAGCGGCAATTACTTAATAAGAATAGCTTAATTGTTATTAAATATATATTTTTAAAGGAAACTAGCTAACATTCTTTTTAGATGTCCTAATGCAAATAGAGACTTTAGATCCAATGAAAATTAACTAATACTGGTAAAGACTTTAACATTTATAGTTAATGTATATATTTAGCTCTTTTTGCTAGTCCTGTCTTATAGAATAGAGAAGTTGTTCATTGACTAATATCAATAAAGACTTTAACATTCTTTGTTAATATGTATATTTATTATTACTAAAAACTGTTTTTAGTATAGTATTCTATCTTTTATGGAATAGAGACAAGAAGGAAATTCTTCACCTATGGTGATGCTTTGCTTCTGTAGTAAGACATTATGATATGAAATATTTGAAAATGGCCTCAACCACCACCCATAAATTAATAAATGGGACACATGAATAATATTAAAAATTATATAACCCATCAAAACAATCAAGAAAAATGAAAAAGGTCCCCCAAGAATAGCTATTTTCCACACGTAGTAGCTAGCTAGTGTACAATATGGGAACTTTGTTTGGCTGAGGAACCATATTTAATTATGGAGTCAATCAATTAGTTAGAAATCAGCATCAGCTGAAAGAAATAAAACCAAACCCTATTAACTTATGTAAGGTTCAAAAATAACAATATAATAATAATATGTGCTGCTGAACATGCTTCATAAACCCTTTTATTATAATATACCCTTAGACATCTCTTTCAATTCAAGAGGTATTAACTTCCCACTGACTAAGTCAATTTGTCAAATATTAGTCTTAAATATTAGTAGTTGTTTGAAAGCTTTCTACATTTTAAAACTAAGAAGGTACTCTTGTAGTTGGTGGGGTATTTATTGAATGAAATATACGAGAGTGTGTTTTGCATAAAAGGAGAATATTGTTCATGAAAAATGCTTTCTTAAAAACTATTTTTAGAGAAATAAGTTGGTTTCATACTTTATTTTCTAGTGTTCAGTAAATAAGTAAATATAATATCAAGAACATTTATATGTAATTTAGTATAAAGCTATAGGAGTGGGAGGATATAAGTTGGGGGGTCTCGGGGGTGGGTGGGATGGTCGTCAAGGGATGGATACATGTTGGGGGCGTCGGAGGGGTGGGGATATAATAAAAATAAAACGTTACTTATATAACTTATTTTTCCTATTTCCTCCATCAAGAAGTCATCTTTCTCATTTCCAAGGACCTTATTTTTCTAGAAAAGATATTTTCCATAAGTTTTATCCAACAAAACATGAAAAAAAAAAATCGAAAAGTATTTTCATCCATACTAAACCAACCTTAAAAGAGATAATTTAGACAAATACTCTCATTGATAAGGTTGTTGGGTGTACAAAAATTTAAGAAGAAAC